GGCCTGGACACCACCAAGAATATTGTCACAGGCACCAAAGACACAGTGTCCGCTGGGGTGACAGGGGCAGGGAACGTGGCCAAGGCGGCAGTGCAGACTGGTCTCGGCACCATCCAGAACTGGTTACCTGGCACCCGGGACCCTGTGTGGGGTGGACTCACCAGTTCCAGTGCCCCCCGCAAAGGAGGGGAAGCTCTGTCCCCCGGAGTATCCAGCGCCCCGGACACACTTGGTGCAGGCCTGGACCTTGTCCGGGAAGCCACCGCTGAAGCAACACGTCCCCAGGGGGCCACCCTGGGCAGGGAGGATGCGGGGCGCGTGGCCCCCGCGCGTGGCCATGAAGGACCCACGAGCTTCGCGACACTCCGGGACGAGCTGAGGGAGTTGGGGGATGTCTTCCAGCCCCTGGATGCCGAGGAGCAAGGTAAGAACGGCATGGCCAGCCCACCTCCCACGGGGCTGGACTTCTGTAAAACCCAAGCCCGGGGCCTCTCGGATCCAATGACCCCCTGTTCCCTGCAGCCCAGCTTGCCGCCTCCGAGCCTGAGCCAAGGGTGCTCACGGCCGACCAGCGCAGCTACTTTGTGCGTCTGGGCGACCTGGCCCCTGGCTTCCGCCAGCGGGCTTTTGAGCACGCCCTGAGCCACCTGCAACACAGCCAGTTCCAGGCCAGGGCCGCGCTGGCCCAGCTGGAGGACGCCTTCAAGCTGGTAAGAGCCTTCCCCTCCCCACGCTCCCCCATCCACGTGTGGTGACCCGACGGGCATCTACTGAGCCCCACGGAGGCTTCTCCACGGCGGACAGCTAACATGTCGGCTCCTGCTCTGCGCCAGAGGCGGAGCTGAGCCCAATCCAGCGGCAGCCCCCTGTGGCCAGTGCAGACGGCGAGGGTCCCCCAGCTCTGAGGACCTCCCGGTCTCCAAGGTCATGGCTCTTAGATGTTTAGATACACATGCAGTGAAGAACTCAGCAATGCTGCCTGAATCCAGATCCCCAGGCTACACCCACACAACTGTGATTTCAGTCGGTGCCCCACGGTCTCTGGTGGGCCACAGCACGAAGACCGCGGGTCCGATCCAGCGGGATCTCCACACGAGTGAACAGGCCCCTGGGACACTGGGCCATGTCTGGGGGCATCTGTGGCTGTCACAACTGCAGGAAATGGTGCTCCTGGCCTTGAGTGGGTGGGGTCAGGGATGCTGCTCAGCCCCCCACCCCCACCCCCAGTGCCCAGGACACCAATAGTACAGCACACAGAATGATCCAGAACCAGTGCCAGTGTTAGCAGTGCCACGGAGGGGAAAGCCAGGGTTAATTATGGGGGAAAAATAACGAGTAAAGCCGTGCTCACCCCAGACACCAGAATGCATCTCCAAGCGGTTAGACGGCACCACCCAGGGTGACCTCAAGGTCTGTAAGTCACTGCCCTGTGTGTGCAGCCTCCCATGACCCCAGCAGGTGAGAGGTGGTCAACATAATGTAAAGGCTCCTGGGGGCCAGTGGAACCCCTTAACCTAGGAAGTGTCCCCTGGGGGGGTGATTCTGTTCCCAGGGACACTTGGCAATCTGTGGGGATGTCTGTGGTTGTCACAACCGGGGGGGGCGGGGAACTCCTGGCATGGAGGAGGTGGGGACCAGGGATGCCCCCCAGCAACGCCCCCAGCACCCAGGACTGAGGAGTGGCCTGACCCCACCTAGGTTTTTCTAGGGGGTCCCTAGCTGCTGATGGGAGAACGGGCTGGACCCGGGAGATTCCTGCAAAACTCCCGGCACGTGATGGACAGCGGGGCCTCTGGGGTGGCTTCCATGGCAGCAAGAGGCACCCGGTTCAGAATGCGCCTCCGAAGCAGGGATGTGGGACACGAGAGAGGGGGACTCTGTAAGGCACCTCAGAGACCTTTTAATTCGTTTCTTATTAAAGGATTTTATTTTTTTGTGGCTTTTCCACTATGCCCAGGAAAGGTCTAGATGTGAGGCTCCAGGGCCAGACCCAAACGTCCCCAGGGGACCAGCTGTAATTTCTCCGCTGGCGTCTCTTTCTTTCTAGATTCAGAAGGCCGAGCGGGCTCCAGAGAGCCAGTCACCTCCAGACCAGGGTCCGAGCAGCAGAGCGGAGGAAGGCGCTACCCAAGAGGTGCGTAACCAAACGCTGAGGTTCCTGCTCTTCTCCCTCCGCCCCTGCTTACCTCGCTCCCCACTCCCGCAGGTGCCGGACGCCGGGGCCCTGTCCAGGGCCTGCAGCCTCATCCAGCAGCTCCACGTGGCCTACAGCTCCCTGGCCTCCGGCCTCCAGGGCCTCCCCGAGGAGCTCCAGCAGCGTGTCGGGCGGGCGCGGCACAGCCTGTGTGAGCTCTACGGCCTGGTCTCCTCGGCCAGCTCGGTCCAGCAGCTGCCGGCAGAGCGCCTGGCCCGGAGCCACGAGGGCGTGGGCCGGGCCTGGCAAGAGCTGGAGCAGGTGCTGGACAGCGTGCAGCACGGCCCGCCGCTCTGCTGGCTGGTGGGGCCCTTCGCCCTGCCGCCCGGCGGGCAGCGGCTGTAGGCCGCTCCCGGCCCACGGGGGCCCTCTGCGGGGCCTCCTCCCCGGCCCCAAACCGGCTCCCCCTCCCCGAAGGTCTGGACCCTGCGCTGCCTCGCCCCAGCGGGGGCACCGAGGACCGTGAGCTCAGCAGCACCACGCACCCGGCTCTAGGCCTGCCCGCACCGTCCACCCCTTCTCCTCCGGGTCTGGGGGCCCAGGGTTGCTAAGACCGCTGACGGAGGGTGTTTGCCTGAGGATCTCAAGCAAGCACTCCCATTAAGAAAGAGAAACGGACACGTGCCTAAGTCTAGAAGGTTCCGTCCAGTTCTCTTGCTCCTCCCTCCTGGGCTCCCGGCTCTATCCTCGCTCTAGAAGCATACGCCCTCAGCAAACCATGTTCCGTTGCAGCCGAATGTACCAGAAGGCCACTGTCACCCCGAGGCAGGCTCCTACCACCTCTGCCAACGCTCAGTGTGGCCAGGGGGCTTTGTGAGGGTCAAGCTGCGGCAGCCAGCAGCCACGGCTATGCCCCGGGCCGGCTGGAGGACTGGACGGGGCGGATATAAAACCAGCCACTTCCCACCTGGGCCTACCCGGAGCTGATGCTCTGTGGCCCTCCAAGCACCTGGGCTGAGGCCTCTGAGGAAGGACCAGCAGAGCTTCCCCGCAGGGGACGGGGCCCTGGGAAGGTGGGGGCGGGTATGTGACCGCAGGTGCTCAGCACGTTCAGGTAGGCCCCACACTTGGTCGAGGCCGGAGAACAGCTGTGACGCAGCACCCCGTCCTTCTGGGCCACACTTCCCCAAATGCCCAGGGCAGCCACGCCAGGGTGGCACGTGGGACTACAGGACGCCAGGCGCGCTCTCCCTGGGCCTCACCTGTCCTCCGGCCGGGGGGACCCTTGCCAAGGAATACCCCGCTTCCCAGAACCCGCATCCCACCCTCGACCCCCCGGTCAGGCCCCAGGACCATAGCCCCTTCTCACACACGATGCGGTGCTCTGAGCCCAGGACGCGACACCAGCCTTCCCCCAAAGGGTCGCCAGGCTCCTGGGCGCTGGCCATGTGAGACACGGGGAACGGGTCAGGAAGCCCCTTGGGCCCGTCCTTCCTTGGTGTCCCTCACGCCCTGTCATCGCAGGAAGAGATGCTGGACACAGTCATTCACACAAGCTGAGCACAGTAGCTGGAGTTCCAGTCCAGCCAAACCAAATGAGGGGCGCCAGGCTCAGGAAGTCCCAGCCTGACCACGGCCTCGGTGGGAACGGAGGCTCCTGGCCAGGGCAGGGTAAGTCACATACAGTGGACGCCACTGTTTAGCCAGCAACTGCCCAGTGCGGGGGTCTGTCTGAATCCGCGTGATGGCCCTGTGAGCCTGGGATCCTTACACAGGTGAGGAATGAGAAGCCCGGGGTGGGACTGCCACTCCTCCAAGGTCACAGAGCAAGTCCTGCCCCCAGTGCTCACACCCTTGGAACATCAAGGACACTGGCCAGCCCACAGCGGCCCCCAAGCCTGAATGGCTCGAATGCCCCGAGCTACTGCTTCTGGGGACCCTGAATCTTGCCTTGGGGGTCCCAGAGCCACCTGCAGCCTGGCTGGGAACAGAGAAGCATGGTCTCCACCCTCCGGGCCCAGGCCCGCCCGCTGGGTCCCTGCTC